AAAATAAATAATCTATATAATCATCCCAAGGCATCATTTTGTAAATTCATTCACAACACTAGACTTTATAGCCCTTTTTATCTAGCATTTTTGCTCCTGAAATCCGTCTGCTACAAAATGTTGCCGGTGGCGCCTCCATACGGGTGTGACGTAGTACCGTGTATATGGGTCAGGAGATCAGCCATTATTGTGCATTTATTGTGACAAATTTCAATGTCTGGTGACAATTTTAGACCGCAGGGAACTACCAAACGACGGAGGAAAGATGGAGGCACTCGAGAATTGGATGCGCATTCGCGCCGGGTAAAAATGAACAAAAAATGGGGAAAATGCTGTGCTCATTTTTTATATTTTTTTAATGAAATTTCTCTACACTAGATGGCTCTGCCTTACCTGATTTCACCTTTACTTGAATTGGCGGGAAATTGTATTTTTACTAGTGCTATGAATATCGATGGTTATTTTTATTATAAACATTATAATTACTATAACTGGTATAAACATTAGTAACAGCAAAATAAGATAACGCAAAATAATTTCGTAAATTAAAGAAAAAGGTAAACAGGCGAGACAAGCAGTACAAATACAAGTGGAGCCATCTATGTGTGAAAACAATTAAACATCGTGAATGGGTTAATGAAGGAGGAAGACGAGTCGTCAGATTCGGCCTATAACATGGCTCAAATTGGTATCCTTTCACTAATTCTCCTCCTACTTCCAGCTCCCTATCTTCTAGTTCATCACCAGTAAGATCTATTGATTCTGTAGACACAGAATCAATAGATCTTTCACTTTCAACTTCACTGGAACTGCTGTAATCTTGATGCTCGCCATGTTGTTTGACAATGGCTATACAATGTATGACGTCACGCGGCGTGGTAGCGCCACTGGTCGTTTTTGAGGCAGACGAATTTTGTGGGCTTACAAAATCATGTTTATTTTTATTATCCGGGTCTAAATTTTCAATTTGATTTTATTAATGGATAAATATTAACCTAGGCCAACTGTGGATGCAAAATAGTGCACAAGTTCTAGGCTATTCCTTTAATCTGATGCAAATACTTGATATCTGATTACAATACTATTCCTACAAAGGGGTTTTATATCGAAGATTAATAATAATAAAAAAGTATTGGAAGTCATTTTATTTTCATCTTAACTGGTTACTCGTTCTGTGCTTCCTTGTTCCCTGAAGACATATTGGCTGAGGTACGAGACCTAAAAGCAGCGTTGGGGGTATTTTGCCCAAAAGCGGCGTTGAGTCTGCCAAAACTAGCACTATCAGCGTACGGTCCAAGATAAGGAGACAGACCTGTAACTGAAGTATAAGGCCCAAGACCTGAGTGGAGTCTAGCAATGGGAGAGTGAGGACCAACACCATAAGGAAATCCAGTTAAATAATCAATAGGGGTGTGAGGCTGAAGACCATAAGGGAATGCGCCTACAGCTCCAACATTAGGGAGGATTCCACTAAAAGCAACAGAGCTGTGATGTCCAGCACCATAAGGGAATCCTCCGAAGCCAGCAATGGAAGTGTGAGGAAGAAGAGCGGAAGGGAAGCCACCCAAGCCAGCAATGGGACTGGAATGTAAACCACGAATTCCAGTTCGAGTGGAATCAGCGTTTTGATTGTTGGAAAGGACGTCTGCGCCATTTGTAGCACCAAGCGCGCTCTCTGATCCAGAGCCAGACGATCTTTCATCCTCAGCTTCGCTAACTCCACCAAATGGGTTGACAAGACCTAGTCGGTTTCCGTATAAGTATTTGAGATACCTTGCTTTTCCATATGGATTTCCTAAATATGCACCAGTGCCGTATGCGTAGTCCAAGTAGCCTCCATTTCCGTATATCGGTCCTGGAAAATGTCCCAGTGGTAGTCCGTGGTTGACAAGGGATGTACCGGTGTCATAAAGACTACTGGGGATGAAACCACCGTGAAGAGTGCCGTGTTGCGAAAATCCTCCAAGTGGCGTCCCGTGGGCAAGTCCCAAGTAGCTGCTCGCAGCGAAGGCGTGTGAGCACAAAAGGGTAATGCTCACGGTGGTCAGAAAGATTTCCTGAAAAGAATAACATCAGTTAACAAATGGAATATCTCATAGATACTTTTTTATACACTTGTTTTACCCGAAGGAGCTACAGAGAAATCAATTTAAATCAAGACATGGTACTGACCATTATGCACAACGTCTAGACGAGTAACTAGTCCGCCTTTAAGATCTGTGGATGCTTTATATACGGTAAGTCTTCAACCTTGATACCTGTGTTCACAAGGTCAGCGAAGACGAAGAGGGAAACTTATTTAGGTTTAAATACCTGACTCATTTTTAACCTACATATTTTTTTTTTTAATTATTATTACAGAAACACGCACGGATAGTTTGGAGTCAAGCATATCAACATATACATACACTTTTATATATACACACACAAATAAACACCACTTACATATATAGATATATACAAAAACATGTGCACATGTACGCAGGCACACAGTGCACATACATAGAGAGGCACTTGTATATCTGTTTTTTTGTTTTTTTTTTACTACACGCTTATACGCATATGTGGATAAACACATACATGCGCATAAACACGTCCACACGCATACTGTTATGTATCACATAATACTCTCGAACTCATAAACAACTGTACATATAAAAAAGATACGACGCATGCACATTAAAATTATCTGTACGTGTAAGCGGAAAAAAAAACATACACATAACACATGCACTTATATACTTGCACAACACACACATAAGCAGCAAATGCATTGATGCTCAAATAAAACGATTGATAAATTTTGTGTTAAACACACACATACGCATGTATATGTATACATATGCCTATATACACAAACACATATATGTATGTAGTTCTATGTACATAAACACACACACATATATATCTGTGTGTGTGTATGTATATGCCTATATACACAAACACATGTATGTCTATGTACATATACACACACATATATGTATGTATGTTTAGGTAGACAACACACACACATATATGCATATACATACACACATACACACACACACACACATATATATATATACAGTAACATACACAAACACACATATATGTATATATGTACATACATACACCCACACATATACATTTCAAGCACTAGTGTAAATTAAGTTGCGAATTAACCATGTTGGATAAACGTGTATCGCTATATAGAAATACTGTGGAACATTTGAGGTCAGTGG